CTGCCGCCTTACAGTGCTGCTGCTGCTGCTGCTGTGGCTGCAGCAGCAGCAGCTGCTGCTGCAACACTCAGTGGCTATGAGGCAGCGCATTTGTGTGCTCTAGGGTTTAGGGTTTGGAAACTTAAACCCTAAACCCTAAACAAAACCATAGCCCCAGTTGAATATCTTTTAAATAAAGCGATCAGTCGAAACTCGCGCCTCAGACCCCAAACCTTAAACCCTAAACCCTAAACCCTAAACCCTCAAATGCAGCGTCGGTACACCGCAACTTGCGTCGACTTCTCGGCGACCGTCACCTCCAGACACTGAACGCACACAAAACCCTAAACCCTAAACCCTAAACCCTAAACCCTAGCCACCAGCCCCACGCCCTTTCGCGCCAAACCCGAAGCCCTGCGCCCCAACCCCAACCCCCAAACCCTAGACCCCAAACCCTAAACCCTAAACCTCAAACCCTAAACCCTAAACCCTAAACCCTAAACCCTACTTTTATGCCTCTTTTCTTCAAATGCCCTTCAGTCAAAGTGTCCACCAGGCTTTGCCAAATGTATGCGCACAACTCTTCCGCGGTGGAGTGCACTATTGGCAAACACTGCGCGCAAACCCTAAACCCTAAACCCTAAACCCTCCAAACCCCCCTAAACCCTAAACCCTAAACCCTCACGAGGCAGTCCACGCGGAGCAGCAGGAACTCACCCCCCCCTCAAACCCTCAACAACCCGCCAAACCTCAACAACCCGCCAAACCCCCCTCCACCCTCCAAACCCTAAACCCCAAACCCTAAACCCTAAACCCTAAACCCTAAACCCTCACGAGGCAGTCTGCACGGGGCAGCAGGAACTCCGAGCCGTCTTCGCAGCGCATGCGAATGCTGCTGCCCTCTTGAGTGATTTCGAGGACATCACTTCTCATGGGAATAATTGTGTATTCATTTAAAGACTAAAAACAAAATAAATAAATAAATAAATGAATAAATAATAAATAAATAAATAGATAAATAAATAAATTAATTAAATTGAGGCAGTTGCTCTTTTGACTGGCTAGCTGCCAAGGCCAGACACTAGCGCAAATGCTGCAGCAGCAGCAGCAGCAGCAGCAGCAGCAGCAGCAGCAGCAGCAG